ATAGAAAAATATATTCTAAATTATTATATAGTATTTTATTAATAGGGTATTTTATATAGTTATTATAGTATTCGGCGGGCTTCTTAGGGATTTCTACTTAAATACTAAGATCCTTATTTTACTAGATATTAATATCTTCTAAGACTATATCTTCTATATTATTATCTATATTTATTTCTAAGTCCCTATTTTAGTTATTATTATTTATAGTATCTTTATTTATATCTAAAGGAGGTCTCTATCTACTTTAATATTCTTTAGGTAGTTTTTTAAGAGAGGGTATACTATTAAAGTTAGAATATATATCTTTCTTTTTATTAAGAAATTTATCCTTTATTATAGTTATATTTTTAGAGACTATAACCTTTTATTTAGTAAAGTTATATATTCTATAGGCTATATCTTTATAGCCTATTATTACCCCTATATAAGCTCTAGGCTTTAGTTTATTTTTAGGGTTTTTATTTTTATAGTATATAGTACTATTAAATACTTTTATATTTTCTAAATCTTTTAAACTTAAAGTTATATTATTTTTCGTTTCTAAAAGTAATATAAAGCCTATAGTAGAGTATAGTAATCTATTATATATATATATAGCTACTAAGATAGCTTCTCTTTATAAGTATTTAAAGAGTTTTATAATATAAAGTATAGCTCTTACTTTATTTAGTATAGTTCTATTTATCCGTTCTATTTTACTATTTAAGTATAGTATATAAGTAGGGCTTATATTATATTTTAGGCTATATTTTAGGTAGTATAGTTTCATATTATATATAAACTCTTAAGTATTATTTAAAAGAACCTTTTTTATTATTATTTTATTTCTATTATTTTCTAGTTCCTATTTATATTTTAGAGATTTTAATAAGTATTCTCTTTTATACTTTATAAGATATATTCTAAGGTATTTAGTTACGGCATTTAAGAAGAATATAAAGTAGATATATTTATTATATATAAAAGTCTTAATAGGGCCCTAGATATCTATATAAATTTATCTAAAAAGTAGTATTTCCTTTTAAAAGGAGTTTTCTTTCTATTTTCTATTTATTTTACTTTTATATAAGTATTATATTATTTTACTTTTATTATATTATCTTTATTTAAAGTAATATTAGTATATTATTTTAAAGGTATTTATATAGTATTATATAGTTTATATAGCCTAGTCTTTTATATTATAGTATAATATCTATAGGTTTTTTATAGGCTATAATAGAGCCTTTTTATTTATTTTATTTATTAAACTCCTTAATATTATATATTTAGTTATCTATTTAAAAGTACGTTATACTTATATATAGAGGGATATAATATAGACCTTTATTTATAAAGCTTTATATTATTATATTTCTTTCTATATCTAAAAGGGTTATAGAGTCTTTACTAGTTAAAGTAAGTATATATTATAAAGACGATTAACTTATAATATTAATGCTTATTTCTAGTATAAAAAGATAGTTTTAAAGAGTATATATCTTATTATTATTAAAAAAATCTAAAGTATAGATTTCTAGCTTCTTTTACTACTAAGGTCTCGTAAAGAGAGATACGAGAAGTATATAAAAATATATAAAGGTAAAATTAGAAGTAAGGGGTCGGATAGGCAGGGCAGAGAGATTTAATTCTTGCGGGGGCAGTAATAAAGGTAGGGGAGTAATTGTTGCATTGCCTTAATTATTCTTCTTTCCTCTCTCTAACGCCCCTCTTTATACCCGTCTAGCATCTTAATTAATAAAGAAGATCCTGCTTAAAGAAGCTACTAATGTCCCTTTAACTACCGAGCTTTTTACCGGTTTTTCCCTTCCTTTCTAACCGTTGCCGGCATATCCGTCTTATCTCTCGCTACCTCTATAGGAAGCTATCGCTACTTCTGCTTCCCCTCTTGCCCCTACCCTCCTCTCTGCACCTCTTTTTAGCTCCTTCCTTAAAACCTATTTTTTAGCTTCCTAGGTCCCTCGTGCTAAGGGATATCTCCGAGAACTACGAAATCAGGCCACGCTTCGCGATATAAGGAAGATACTTTTCCCTAAGTTATAATTATATAAATATTTTTATAAGATAAAAGAAATTTTTTATTAGATATTATATATCTAAAAGACCCTATATTAAATATAAAATTATATATATTTTCTCTTTATAATTTTATAGCATTCTTATCTACTCTAAAAAGAATCTAACGAAGAGAAGAAAGAAGAAGCTTTAGAGGTCTTATAAGGTACTTAGTATTAGCTTTTTCTTTTCTTTTAGAAAGGTATATAAGAGTAATATAGGTTATATTATAAAGGGAGAGGGTTATATTAGTTATATAGGGGTTATAGAAAGGTAGGTTATAAGTTATAGTATAGAGGAAGAGGTTAAATAAAAATAGGATATAGGTTATATAGAGGTTATAGGTTATAGTTATATTATAGAGAGGAGGGTTATAGGTTATATAAAGGTTATAGAGGAATATAATATTAGTTATATTATAGAGCGGAGTTATAGTATAGAGGTTATAAGTTATAGTATAAAGATTACAAGTTATATAAAGGGTATAGAGGCTATAAGGAATCTATAAGGGGAAGGAAGGGTATTTACTTAACTTTAAGAAGAATTAAATATATAAAGAATCTCTTAAGAGGGCGTTAACTCTTTAGAGAAAACTCTAAAAAGAGCTTTTCTTCTTTTTCGTCCTTAGATAACTATTTTACTAGTTACGAGGACCCTTTCTTAAGACGACTATCTAGAGAAAGGTATAGGCGTTTAACGCCTATTATTTCTATTCGAACGACCTCTAGGATTTTAAGATCTATTTAAAGAGGAACCTCTAGAGTTCTAAGGTAGAAATCTAGCTTTTCTTACCTTTTTTTTATTTACTTTAAGCTAGAAATAGTCCTTTATAGTATAGCTTAGTTTTTTATAGTTCCTATAATAGGGACTAGGTTTTTTACTATATAAGTAAAAGAGCTATTTAAAAGAGGGACCTTCTAGAGCCTTAATTCTCTTAAATTTATCGATTAACGATAAGGAAAGAGACTTAAGGGTATAGGCCTAAGCATTATCTCTAAGAGCTTAAGAGATATTTCTTATATAACTTAAATATAAGTTATTAAAGCATTAAAAAATCTAGGCGATAATATCTACCTTTAAAATACGGATATATCGAGTATTAAGCTCGTTAAAGAGCTCTTTAATTTTATTAAGATATGCCTTAATAGATAGTTAACTCTCGAGTATAGTATTAAAGAGCTCTTTTATAAGAAGGAAGTTAGAAGTAAAATTTACTAGGTTATATAGGCTTTTTAATATATTCTAAGCGCTTTTTATAGTAGTATAGTATTTTATCTAAGAGAGGGGACCATCCTTAATTATAAGTCGGATTAAAGTAAGAGCTTTTGCCGACTTTAAGTGATTTTCTTATATAACGGCGCTATATATTTTCTCTCGGATAAAAATAGAGTCTATATAAAGTAACTATAAGGAAAAATTCGAGCTACCCTTAAGTTTAGTAAAGTAGTAGTTGGTCTTACTAGATATGTTTTTATGGATTTTTCTAAGAGGTATTTAGGTATAAAAATAGATATAGAAAGAAGAGAGAAAAAGATAGACTAAGTTAAGTTTAATATACTTAGGGGAGTGAAAAGAGAGTAGAAGAAATCCGAAAAAAGTCTTACTAAAAGCGCCGTTAATATTATATAGGATATAAATCTTATTAGATTTGTTTAGGCTTATTAAGAAGTTAGAAAAAGCGTCTAGAAAGTAAGTATATAGAAGAGAAAATAAGGGACTTATCTAATAGTATTTTCTTAAGTTCTCGGGAAAATTCTAGGGAAAGTCTACTAATAAAGCGCTAGCGGTAAAAAATCGGGGAAAATTTATATCGGAATTTTATAATCACGTGATTGCTAGGAAAATAGCGGGAAAATAGCGGGTGATTCTAGCTTATTTAGAAGCCGCGCTTATAACCACTTAATAACTAAGAGCAGGCAGCTATATAATTAGTAGAAAGCCGGAAGTAAGAGGATTACGAAGATATAAGAAGTATATAAAAAAGTAAAGGAATAAGTAAGATAAAGGTAAAAGAGTGAATTTAATAGTAATAATCTAACTAGTTAGAGAGCGGAACTAATAGTCCCTCTTATATATAATTCCTCCGTTATAGAGTAATATAGTAAGTTAAGAAAAGTAGGTCTTATATAGCGCTATTTTAATAGTAAGCTAATAGCTTAAAACATAGGTTAGAATATCTTAGTAAGCGCGGTAGTTAATTCTATAGGGAATAGTAGGTAGCGCTTTAGCTATATATAGATCTTAGTTACTAAGCCGTGCCTAAGCTATATGCCCGAGCCGTGTCTAACTAGTAAGCTCTATATATACCTATTTTCTATATAACTACCGTATCCGCGTTTATATATATATTAAGGCATACGTATATATATATTATATAAAATTATATAGCGGATTTAATATATATTTTAATATATTTTATAGTACCTATTTATAGTATAAAAATACAGCTTAAAATAGTTATAAAAATAAAGGAGCGTATTTACTCCTTTATAGTCTAAGATATAACCTTTAATAAAAGTATCTTCTATAATAGAGTTAATCTACCTAAGCCTACCTTATAGCGCTTAGAAGTATAGCTTTTAGCCTATATTAAGGACGAATTAGATTATAAGAAAATTCCTACTTATACTATTAAGTCTAAACCTTTAGCTAATAACCCTACTTTAGTATTCTCTTTAGCTTCTTTAAGCTAAGAAGACGTATCTACTATCTAGGTATATAACGAACTATCTAATTATAAGGATATAGATAATATCACACAACGGATGCAAATGTAGGTGGAGACTCAGAGGACTGGACGTTCTTGTATTCTCTATTCTAGTGGAAGCAACCTGCTACTCTTATAGCTGCGTGTATAGAAGAGAGAGGCCTCCAAGGGGGCGTAGGAGAGTCATGTAGCTGCTTCAGATTCGTCCCATGTGAGAATTTCACCTCACGAAATTATGGGAGCCGTGTGCTATATGTGACAGATAACTAGGATAAGTTTCACGATGCTTAAAACCTATATTCGACCCTAGAACCTGGTCTGTTGATCCCGTGGCCGGCCCTAGACTGGCCGAGTATTGGCGGGAGTACGACGAGAATCGGTCCGAGTGCGCCAGACTCGTTCACGACGCCGACAAACTGCAGCGCCTAGACCGGGCGTTCCAATACGCACGTCGTTATCCTACGCTCGACCTGTCCGACTTTAAGCGTGACTTGGAACGTATCGATGACCCTAGAATGTAGCTGGCCGCCCAGCACGTCTTGGAGAAATGGACATATTGGGAGCAGAAACAGCAACTATTTGTCTTCGTCATGGGTCGACACCCCTCTCCGTCGAGAAGATCCTCGGATGAGCGCTGCTGACTCGAAATAGGCGGTCCGGGCGTTGGAAAGAGCACACAATGTAGCATGGCGGCGGCTGGCCTTGGAGCTGCCCACGTGTCTGTGGGCGAGCTGTTGCGGCGCGAACAAGCACGACCACGCTCGCGCTTTCGAGACTTCATCACCCAGAGCTTTGACATGTCTATCCCAGTGCCTCTGATATTGATTGTCGACCTACTGCAAAAAGCCATTCAGCATACGTCATGCGCCATCATTATCCTTGACGGCTTTCCTTTGACAAGAGAGCAGCTTAGGTTTTTTGAGAAACAGGTGCGGCGCACTTCGAGCTGACGTGAAGCCGCCTAACAAGCATAGGTATCCACCAAGTACGGATCCATCTTCGTACACGCGAGCAGCGAGACGTTGCTAGAGCGCTTAAGTGGGAGAGCCGAGTCTTCGGGACGGGCGGACGATGACCTTGGTAAAATTAGCAAGAGAATCGAGGCTTTTGCCACAAGACCTAACCCGGTGATAGACTATATGCGAGATGGGCAACAGCTTTTCTTCTCACTCAACGGCGAGGCTAAGATGGACGAGTTGCAGGCCCAATTCGTCAAGTGTATTCAGGCTATCCAACGGCATTTTTAGTCTACATGTCCAAGTTAGTTTTCTAATCCACCGTAGCCGCATCTCGGACGCTATGTCAACAACACAGCGGGGTGTCCAACTGGAACAAGTCGAGCTCGATAGGAACGAGGCAAGTACGGGGCATCGACATCATTGCCATCCACAGGCTTGATGCGAATTCGCGAGACACATGGACGTGGAAGGACCGCGGAGACCCTGAGAACAAAGACAAGTCGGTCAACTGGCTTCGCGATTCGGACATGCTCCCGAGCATTAAAGGACGGGCTTCGCGATTCGGACATGCTCCCGAGCATTAAAGGACGGACTCGTATCTTGAGGGAGTGCGTAGCGATGACTCTTCCCATGTACATACATTCCTATCCCTTGCCATCGTACAAGCTTTGCTCCGTCTTGCGTCTAGGACGCGTTGACAAGTCTTCTAACAAACTCTCCATTGACCGTTTGCCCTCCATGTAACGATTGTGATATGTAGTGGTCAGAGTAACGGCAAGTGTCGACGGCGCCTGGCGATCATGTCCAAAGAGAATCGTGCACGACCTATGTGAGTCAGGAGAATCTTGCTGATAATGTGGACTCGCAAAAGCCTGCGCAATGCCATGCGCAGTGTCTGCCAAGCCAACGCGGCTATATCGAGTGATATGCGTAGCTACCACGGCATACATCTGGTAGCAGAGCCACACGTATTGCACCTGAACCGGCATCCACACTAACGAGGATAGAAGCTGGAGCGGAAACGAAACGTAAAAGAGGATTAGCGTCGTGAACTGCACAATCTCCCGCAAGCGGTGCCGCTTCGGATGCCCGTAATGTTCGAAGAACTGCTTGACGAGCAGACGCGGTCCTGTGAATAGCATAAAGTGGCCGTTGGGGCCGTGGGGCTGGTGGGTGTCGACTTGAAAGCATGCCTCGGCATTATTGGCCTCTGGGTGTTGACGAGGATCCATGAGCGGGTCTCTGTAGAGAGCGAAAGCCGCGCTGAACAGGCGGAGAGCCAGGGGCACGAGCCAAAGAAAGGCCCAGTAGGAGTCGAAGTACACCAGCACGAAGACGGCTGTCAGTAAGCTTGAGATCTCCGAAGCCACTATCGCAACCAAGGCTCTCGGGCTTATTGTGTTCGAGTCTTCTGCAACAAAGAGAAGGTTTGAAGCCTTGTCCTCAGGCGTCGCCAGTGTTATCTTCAGGTGGTGAAGAGCGATCTTGGATCGAATCTTGGGCCTCTCTTGCTGACCGCCCTCGACATCCTTGCTCGACTGGGGCGGAAATAAAGAGCTGATGGGCGGCACGGGCATACGGGAGAGGGCCTCCGCCCAGAGACAATTCCGCGCAGGCTCGCATCTGCTCTCCAGTAGTCCGCCAGAGGCGCCTTCGTATAAGTTGTAGACCCAGTGTCGTTGAGGGAAGAAGGCCGTGCCCAGCATATGGCCCTCATGGGAGCCGAAGAAGAGGCCATTCCTAAAGACGCCGTCGAGAGTGTGACAGGCCGTCTTGAACAACGGGCCGCCCATGGGCGTGAAGAGCGCGACGCCCAAGGCCGACGAGGCGGTAAAGCTGGAGAAGCTTCGTTGCGGCCATAGCTGGCGCTCGAAGCAGGCTACTGTCCCTGATTCGGCACCAATGTAGCCGAGGATGGCGCCGAGCGCCACGAAGACGACTGTAGGCGACGGGTTGGCGGGCGGGCAGTTTTGGTCAGACATGGCTGGGGCTGTATCTGGGGCTCCGACAAGGGATGGGAGGGTTAGGGCGGAGTTGGATGAACGGCCAGGGCTCCTTTTGAAGGAAACATGTACGCGTTTAGGTCACCTTCACCTCAGGCCTGCATAGAGGCACTGCTCGTGCGCCTCAGTCCATTCATCCAACGGAAGCCTAATCCCGGGGCAGTGTTGACGAACTTGATTTAAAGGTGACGCTGCCCGGTTGGAGAAGGCCGACCCTGGACCATCGCAATCGGCTGATCAATGCATGCATATAAGCGTGACGACGTGGCCAGTCTTGACTCGCTGGCGGATGATGACTGCATGAGGCAGGCCGACAATTCGCTGCCTGATGTCTTGGGAATAAATGGTTTCATCATCGCCTTCCTGTCGCCCAGAGAACGTGCGGCTCTGACTTGTCAGCCTGCGGCCCTCTGAAGCCGCGCACTGGCGAGTATTCCCCGAATAAGGCAAGCTGGCATACTGTAGAAACACACGAATACATCACGAATACATCATGAGCATCGCCTCTTCAGCTCTAGGCATCTACTCTTCTCGCGATGCCCTCTCTCCGCAGCCGTAGCGACGTTCCCTCCGGTCGGTAACTTTCAGCTGCCTGCTATGCACTAAAATAGATGTATATCTGCATCGGGCATGTGCTTGGCCCTCGGACTCGATACTCGGTGTCGCAGCAATCTGATGCTCCGCCTAGCAACCGCTTTCCCTTAAAGTCCACACAGTTTCCCAGGTTTTCCCCATCGGAAGTCGTTGTGCCAGATGTTCAATCTCATCTTCCAGACAGTTACGTACTCAGATGAACACTAGTAGTCGACAGTGCTCTGTTGACATATTTTCTTCCACCCCCTAGTCTCCATCATTACTGTTCCGTCTTTGACCATCCATCTCACGCGTGCCAACTGCTTTGGTCAGTCAGCGGTCCTCTACTCCAAGTCTCTTACCACGGCGCCAATACTTATCGGCACTTTCAACTCGTCATGTCACACTTCGACAATGTCCCGCCGCTTGAAAGACTCGTCGACGACTATGCATTTGGACGTTCCGTGGATCTTGTGCCAAGAGGCATGTCCACACATGCTTCTTGTTCGCAGTCTAATCACGGGATTACAGATCGCGTGATGGAGGATTCTCCATTTCACGCCTTCAGAGTCCGGGCCTTGCGCCACTGGATTCAGCTTTGTCACCTCATCCAATCGGAAGGCATGAGCAGTTTTAACGAAGAGGAAAGAAACGCCTTCTGGATCCTCAGAGATTTTGTCGCTTCCTCCTATGCCGTGACAGGGCACATCTTCATGGACATGTTCGAGAGCATTGGGTGCGTGCACTATTGCCGCGCGCACCCTGACCACTCATTTTTGTCGGCGGTGAACGCCTTGAAGTCCGAAGTCGAGACTCGTTTTCGCGAGCTTCGTGAGCAGGGGTATATGCCAGAAAACGATCATGTCGGGCAAGATTATTGCGATCTGATGATGACGATGTATTCAATTGAAATGTACGCCGGCTCAGAACCTTACCATTGCGGCCACATTAGGTCGCGAATCCGGCGAAAAGCGGCCTTGTCGGCCTATCGTCAGCGAGTGACGTGGCGCTGCCTAGAAAGTATCCGTCTTCAGCCAGCAGATCATGACACTTGCCAAGAGAAGTCGGAGCCGGGAGCTGTGATGACTGACGACGTGGAATTCATCCAGCGCGGCCCGCTCATCCGGCCTTGCCCATGGCTAGATCACAATGCGGAGAAATCGGAAGCTCTGCAGGGGTGGCCCGAATACCTTTGGCACGTTCAAGAAAAACAGCTTGTTTATCTCGGAAGTGATCCAGAACGGCGGAAAAGATTTCGACTCCATCAAGATGCTGATATCGGCCGCCCCGAGTATATCGCCATCAGTCACACCTGGGGGCGATGGACCAAGGACGATGAAGCTGGGTATAAAATGCCCAATGGTTTCGAGTATCCCATTCCGAGAAATAAGACCTTCGAGGTTGAAGAGATGCCACGGTATTTATGCGACTTTCAGAGGATCAACAACTTCTCCGCAGACTACGTTTGGCTGGATTTGCTCTGCATACCGCAAGGCGACGACGAAATTTTGAGTCAGCAGGATATGGAAACAAGGCAAGGTGAAATTGCTCGCCAAGGCTCTATATTCCACAACGCTAGCACGGCCGTTGCGTGGATGCACGAAGTGAAAGATCTTTCGTGCCTAGAAGCCCTATTTGAGTTAGGTATCTACCTACGTTTGACTTCCGACGAAACAATCGGTGACGAGGCCATCTCTCGATTGCGTCGACTGGAAGAGAAGCAGCGACAGCGCATAGCAGGCAAAAACACCGGCCTTCTAGCGCCCGAAACAGAAGGCGAAGCTGTGCATGCTAAACGCAAAGTCTGGATGTGTCAAGTAAGATTTTCGGGGAGCAAAGATGAAAGACAACCCGGCTTGCGACCAGATTCAAATACCAGTCAGCCAAATCCACGGGATGGAAACGTCAATCTGGTTGAATCCGAGGATGGATCCGCGAACAATCGACAAGCAAGCTCCTATTTTACATCATTGTGGACACTTCAGGAGATCTGCCTAAGGCCAGATATGAATCTTGCGACCTGCGATGGGAAAATCATGTCACGGGATGACGGGACCCGGATCCCTCTTAACGGCCTCATCGTTATCTGGGAAGATATCCCAGCCACGTGCGAACCTTTCAAAGACTTCTTCCCGTTGCTTTCGGAAATAAGGCAATGGTTTTTAACCACCGGCGTAGAAGCACTCCTCTTCCTCGAGCAGGTGGATATTCTCATGCTTGCCGATAGCCGCCACTGCACCGGCAGACGAGCCGAGGCCATCATGTCGGCTCTTGGCGCCACCAGGTGGTTCGACCACGTCCGTCAGAAGATTTATAATCCCGAGTCAGACCTGATTATGGATAAGTACCCGGCCAGGTTCATTGAAGAGGTCCGGCAACTCATCCCCAACGAGTTCATGACGTCTTATATCAAGGCGCCAACCGAGTGCCTTACTAGAAGTGGCCAAGAAGCACTTGATTTGATACTAAACGGAGTAGATGGCAAGATCCTGATTACCCTTTACGATTTGCGTCATGTGCTTGGAGATGACATTTTTCAAGACTATAATATCAGTGACGACATCGGGGCTGGCGGCTCGCTTCTCCCATTCAGCCGCAGGCAACATGAATACACCAACTTGCGAAAGGATAATTTCCCCGGGGCAGTCCAGGCCCATAAATCACTCGAAAAGTGGCATATCGAGAAGTCTGGTAGGGTGCACATCACGACGGCGTGCATCTTGTCGTCGAATAAGTCACCGGTCGTCCTAGACGACTCCAAGGTCCAGTCCGTCAAATTCATGGGGTTTGTCCCGAGCGCCATGGAAAGAGCAGACGAGGAGAGTCAGCCCAGTGACGACTCCAACGACAACTCAGATCCTACGTCCAACGCTCAAATAGAGGACATGCATTTATGGGTGGCGTCCAGGACGTTCGAGGTCCACTTGGTAGTGGCTTCGCATCGGCTCGTTCCTGTAGCGGTACATGCTCACTTTAAGACGGAGGTGCCGTTTGTCGATGAGACTATCTGGGGGTTTGTTTTGCGGGGATTGGAGAGGGACGATGATAAGAAAACAAGGCGGCGCCATGTTAATATTGGCTTTTTTTTAATTAGGAATATTTGCGAGAGAAAGGATTGTATAGAGCTGCCGCCGGAGGTAAGTAGCATGGATTGGTTAGTTTTATAGTTGACAACCTTATTAACTATAAAACCAGCCTATTAGATTTATTTCCAAAAGAAATGTAGCTAGATAGCCTAATCTCATGTTTAATCCGACAACTCTTAAAGCCTCGTACACTTATTTTTTCATCTTTACCTTTAACGACATTCTTGCTCGGTAGCTAAGCTTACGCGAATTGTTTGCGATTTTTCTGGGGTTTTTTTTTTCGCCGGCCCGTCTACACACAGTACATACTGGGTGTAAATCTATCTATCCCTTTAATGGGTCGTCGTCTTCTTATGTGTCCTTTAGAAGTCTCTATCTGCCGTGCACCTCTATCTGTAAAAGTTGTAAATTGTTACGCGTGGAGCACGTTAGCGGCTTTGGGGGCCTGAGGCCCGGACACGGCACGACCTAAAGGTCGGCCGGCGCTGCGTGTAGGTCCTTCAGCTCGTCGCCGGCGGAAGGGTGTGAGCGTAAGGTGTAGACGGTATGTACCATTATACATGTAGGCCTAGCTACCGTCCTCTGCCTCTAATAGACTTACATGCTTGGATGCTCGCGGCGGGCCTCGTATATAGCTAACTAACCGGCTATATAAGCTCTTCCGGAACACCGCCGACTGCATAAGGCTTCTATTCCCAGTTTATGGCTCTGCATTATCGTCTGCTTAGAAGCCCCTAGGCCGCCTGGACCACTTCGGCCGCCTCGATCCCCTCTGCCATCTAGGCCCGGACGGCCTGACCGAAGCGCATCTCGGCCTCCTCGAAGACGGCATCTAGCAGAGTCTCGGGCTGGGCGTAGTTGTGGCGCCGCAGCATCGTCTCTGCCTGCTCTAGGAACAGCTAGAACTCGTAGTCGGACGTGCGCTTTAAAACAATCCCGCTCAATGTTAACGTCTATGGCCGCGAGGCGTGATCTTACCGCCTAGGATTCTATAACGTAGTTCCTAATAGACTGCTCGGCCTCGTTCGCCTTAACTGCTATGCCTTCGTGTATTTAGTAACCCCTACTATTTATACTTATTAATTATAATAATTATCTATATTAACACTAAAGCTCCTATAAAGCCTATCTTTAAGAGCATTTTTAACTCTTTAAGCTTTTTAGATTATAATTAATGTTTTGCTAAGTAATAACATTATAACTATAATGCCTTATATCTCTTTTAAGCGGTATCTAGGCACTAAGCCTAAGCTCCCCTACCTCGCCAAGCCCCTTTTCTATGCTATAAGCGTTACCGATCTAACTAGGTATTTTATTAAGAATAACACACTACCGGCACTAGGCGCTATAAGTAGAGGCAGCCTATCTATAATAGAGGCACCAATGCGTATTATAGCAAACGAATTAAGTAGCTTAGTCTAACGCGGCGTCCGCGCGCTATAAAATGCTAGCGCTATAAGATATGCTAAGTCGAGGGCTAGTAGTACCGAAACGGTAATCATGCTAGCCTACGCTATAACTAGGACTTGCGTGTCTGCGCCTAAATTATATAATAGATATAACGAGGGCAGGACGTTACGGGATATTATTCGCGTATCGTTGGTTAAGAAGGCGGCGGCGGTAAAGGCATTCTAAACCCGCTCGCTATCTTTTACTAAGGAGTAGACGTAACGGGCTTGCAGTTTGGCTTTAGGCTCGGTGCCGGTCTTATCGATGCACATCGCCCAGCTTTCCGCTTGCGAGTCTATAAGCAATGCCGTTAGGGGAAGGATCCGCGTATATCGCCCGAGGCCATGTGCTAGACCAGTATAGGTCAGGTTGTCGGAAAGCGATATATCGAGATATGCCCCAATTGATAAAGCGCTTGACTTTCTGAAGTCGTGTGGCACTGTTAACTATGCCAAGACTGCGCGTCAGTTCAATTGCGACGAGACTACCCTGCGACGGCGACACCAAGGCAAACAGAGGTTAAGAGAGGATGCCGACAGTTTATATAAGTCACGTCTCTCGAAACAGCAGGAAAGGGACCTTATTACGTATATTCGCAAGCTTTCATCACGTGGGATTCCACCTACGCTGCCAATGATCAAAAGTTTCGCCCAGGATATCGCTAAAATTAAGGTCGGAAAGGACTGGCCGTATAGCTTCGTCCGACGCAATAGCGATAAGCTCGGTTACACTTAGTTCGACGGTTTCGATATTATAAGAAAGAGAGCAGACAATGCTTCTAGGTATAGAGCCTACTATAAGCTCGTAAGTAGGTGCCTAAGTCTACCCCTTTATTGCTAATCGTATAAGATTAGTAAGAAAATCGAGAAATAGAATATCCTGCCTTATAATACGTATAATATAGATAAAAAGGGTTTTCTCTTCGGCGTTATTAATCGTACTAAGAGAGTATTCTCTATTTATGCTAAGAAGTAAGGAAAATTAATCGGTGCTACCTAGGATAGCAATAGATTATAGATTATGTTCCTAGTATATATCTATTAAGACCTAACCGCGCTACCCCTATTTCTTATCTACTAAGGTAAGCTAGGGTAAGCTTAGGACTCCTAGCTTATAGAGTTTAATCCGGAGCACTAAGCGGCGTTTTTTATAACCTTAGAAACGGGTTAGACGAACTATAAACTTAGAAAGGAATAGCTTATTAGTGTTTTCGACCGGTTTACGAAAAAAAAGGCGCGAAACGGCCGGGATTACCGCCTCCTAATTACCGATAAATACTCTAGTTATATTAATATAGACTTCCTAGAGTAGTATAACTAGTGTCACGGAGTAGGCAGAGGCGTGCGCGTAGGTGCCGTCCGTAGGATAATGTTAATAAGCTATGCAGAGCTCTTCTATACGCGGCTAGCCCGCCCCTATACTTACGGGATCCGGCCCTCCGCACGTAACTACACGGCTTAGGCCGCGGCCTAAGCCTATTACCTATAATAGTTAAAGACTCTTATACAATGCCCTCCCTTAAGCGCGGCGTAGTGCTGCCCTATTAACGGCTCCCGTATAATTAGGCCCGTGCCGCGGGCTCTTCCCTGCCCTTTCCCGTTAATAGGGCCGGCCCTACTAGCCCTATTATCCCCGCGCCCGTTAGCCCGGGCAGCCGGGACCCGGCTCTATACTCGTCGGCCGGCTAGCCGTTTAAATAGGGGCGTAACCTATTATATACGCCCCTAGGTAGCCGGCGGCTAGTCCGGACCTACGTAAGCCTTAGGTTGCCCGTCCCCTCTACCTTAGGCAGCATCCTCTACTAAGGGGTATATAAGGCGGCATCCCCCCCTTCCCCCTTCCCTTCCTTCTCTCCCTTCTTTAACCGTAGCAGCAGTATTAATAGGTAAGTTCCGCTCTACCTAGGGCGTTAGTCCGTTCCTAGCTATACGGGCCGCTCTATTAACGTATACTCGTAGTAGCAGCGGTAGTAGTAATAATAGCCCTAATAATAATAATAACTCTAACTAGTAAGTTCCGCGCCTTATAGAGCGGGAGGCCGTATTCCGTCGTGCTAACTTCCGCGATAGATATATCCGCCTCTCCCTCTCCTACCTCCTCCTTCTCGGAGCGTACGGAGTCGTTCGTCGACGCTATGCTAGCCGCGGCCGACGACGACTCCGCCGCTGCCGCCGCTCCTGCCCGCGCCGCTGCCACCGCTCCTACCGCCGCCGCCGCCGCCTCTACTACGCTATTCGCTCTTACGTCGCCCCTTAGGGTAACGACGCCGTCCCCGCCGCTACCCGTGACGCCCGGCCCCTCGGCCCCCGCCTCTATCTCCGCCACCCCCGTAAGTCCGTAGTTAGGTAAGCGTAATAGACGTTGTCCGCTAACCTCCTATAGTATAAGCGCTAAGTATAGGCCGGCGCCGCCCGCTTAGCCCCCTATATACGTTATGCGTCGTAGGAGCTTGACTACTCCGACTAGGCCGGGCGCCGCCGCGGCGGCAGCTGCTACTAGTGCGCGCGAGCCGGCCGCGCCTATAAGGCGGCGCCTCCCGTCCTACTCGCTACGGCGTCGGCTTAGAAGGCCGGCTCGCACGGGCAGGCGCGGGGGGCTACTAAGAAGCGCCTTACCGCCGCCGCCGCCGCCTACCGCAACCTCCGCGCCCTCGAGCGATAGGGCCTTATGCCTAAGTAAGTCCTACTCCTCCGCTCCCCTATTTCCGCCTCTAACGCACCCGGCGCTAGGGATACTGCCTCCGTCGCCCTATCGGCGGTCCCCTTAGCCGTGCCCGCCTCCGCTACCGCCGCTGCCCCTACCGCCGCCGCTAGCCGCCGCCCTCTACCCCGGAGCCGCCGCCGCCGCCGACTAGCTTACGGGCTTAGAGGGCCGCCTTAGCGCCCTAGAGACCGCCGCCGCCGCTAATAAGAAGGAGGAGGCCGACGAGGACGACGATAACGAAGATAATAATAATAATAACGATAAGGAATAGGCCTAGGTAGTCTAGGGGCTCCGCCCTATAATAAACGCTATTTTTATCTCTGCCTATACTATTACGCTTATATTGCCTATATTGCCGTAACTACCCCCTCTACTATGCCTACTTCGTGGTCCTAGCCCGGGCTACTATTAGTAGTCTACTAGTCCGTCGTTCTCGTCTACCGTTCCGAATAAGGCTTTAAACTTATCGAGGGCTATAGTTCCCGTAAACTTATATACGGGTTCCTACGTAGGGTCGAGATACCCGCGCTACTTAACGAGGACCTCCTGGCGTTTCCCCCTACTAACCTTTTTCTAGCGCGCGGCCTATATCTCTTTAACCTCGAACTCGTCCTCTCCCTCTACCTCGATTACGGGCGGTTAGGCGTCCGCTACTTTTTATCTAGGCAGCGGGTTAGAGGAGGCTCTACGAAGGAGGTCTACGTTAATCTTATTATAGACCCCCGTTAGGAGACTATTAAGCTCTATAACCTACGGGCTAATAACCCTCCGTACTATAAACTTCGCGTATAGCTAGTTAAGCTTCTTCTTTAGTCGTGCCGACCTATAGTTACGGAGGTCTAGCTATACCTTATCTCTTACCGCGAACCTATCTACTAGGGCCCTAGTCTTATTAGCGTGCCGCTCTTAATCTTACGCCGCGGCGGCTATCGCGGATTAGTAATAATTCGTAGTCTCCTATAGCTTTTATACGAACGCGGAGGCGCGGCCCTCTAGTAACGTATTACTATGCTGCTCCGCTACCACGTCTATAGTAAAGGGAACTAGTAAGGGTAGTTCGAAGCTATACGTTATAAAGAAAGGGGCTATCCTAATAGAGGTATATAGTCTACTATTTAATATAAGTTAGGCCGCGGGGAGCCACCGGTCCTAGTCTACTTAGTTGCGGGCTACGATAGCCCGTAGGTAAGCCTATGCCTCCTAGTTAACCCTCTCGGGCCCTCTATCGGTCTATAGGTAATATACTATACTAAGTAGCTACGTAATCTAAAGTAGCTAGTATAGGTGCTGCTAAAAGCGGCTGGTCTAATTCGATCCCCTATCGCTTATAATAGAGGCTAGCTAGCTATACGAGCGGGCCTAGCACTATAGGAAGCGCTCTACGTAGGACTCCGTATCTATAAACGGTATCGGCTCTAATACTATAGACTTACTAAGTCGGTCCTTAATTACCTATATATAGCGGTTGCCGCCCTCTATAAGTAGGAGGTCCGTTATAAAGTCTATCTATATATACGTATAGAACCGGTCGGGCACCGGAAGCTACTTAAGCAGCCCCTTAAGCTACGCCCTCTAGATCTTTATACGGCCGTAGATATCGTAGTTACGGAGGAAGCAACGAACGTAGTGCTATAGGAGGGGCTAGTAAAAGTCCCTCGTAAGGCCTACTACTATGCCCTATCTACCTAAGTAACCTACGACGCTAGAGTTATAGATAAGTTAGACTAGCCTCCCTTAGAGCTCGTTCCGTTCGTCTAGCTCCGGCGGTCCCTCCTTCTCCTTAGCTTCTATAGTATACGGTGCGCCCGGTACCTATAGTCTCCCCCGCTAACGTAGATGCCCCTATAGGTCGATATAGTAGTCGGCCACCTATACCTTTAGCTTTAGCTTCGGATCTAGGCGTCGAGCGCCGGACTTAACGGCGCGGCGTACGCCCTCGTAGGTGCGGTCTAGAGCCGCTATCCTATCCTATAAGCGTTATAGGGCCTTATCTTAGAACACTCTCGCCGCGCGCGCCCTTAGGCCGGTCTATCCCTCCTCGCCGGACTAAGGTAAGGGCGCGGGGGGAAGCTTATTCGCTAGCACCGCGTCTTCCTTTACTAGGGAAGCTCTTATATAAGTCCGTAGTACTTCCTATAGGATAAGCTATAGATCCCGGGCCTCGATGTCTGCTCCCGTCGGCCGGTCCTAATCCTTCTAGGAAAGCGCGTCTAGGACCGCGGAGTCCCGCCTAAGGTAGTACTTAATCGAGAAGTTAAAGCGTAAGAGATACTCCGCTTAGCGGGCTTGCCGCTTTAAGAGGTACTAGCGAGTTATAAAGTACTCGAGGTTCCTATAGTCTATAAGAACCTCGAAGCTCTTATAGCTCTAGAGCTCCGCTTACTATTGCTCGAGGTAGCTAATAATCGCTAGTATCTCCTTATCGTAAATAGCGTAATTCCGCTCTACTAAGGTTAGCTTACGGGAGTAGAACGCTACCGGTTGCTTCCGCCTATTTACCTCCTAAGAGAGCGTTCCTCTAAGTGCCTAGCCGCTATAGTCCGCTTTAACTAACGTAGACCGGTCGAAGTCCTACTAGAGCAGCACCGGGGCTTAAGAGAATAGGTCCTTAAGCGTACGGAACGCTCCTTCCTATATAGGCCCCTAGCGAAAGGCGGTCCGCTTCCCGGTAATCTCGTTTAGGGGCATTATAATATAGGAGAAGCCCCTAATAAACATCCTATAATAGTTCGCGAACCTAAGTAAGCTCTACACGCCTATCTACGTAGTTAGGGCAGCCTAGTCCCGAATCGCCTAGATCTTTACGGGGTCCGCCTATATGCCTACGCCTACGTAGATAATAAAGCCTAGGTACTTAACCCTCTTAACCCCGAATTCGCACTTATCTAGGTCGAGGTAGAGCCTATAAAGTTAGAGGCGCTCTAGGACCCTCTATACTTTCTATATATAGTCCTCGTAGGAGCCGCTCGTATAGATAAGGATATTATCTATATATATAGAGGCGAACTCGTCGAGGAAGTCCCGAAGTATATTATTAATATAACGCTAGAAGGTAGCGGGCGCTCCTAAGAGGCCGAAGGGCGTTATAAGCTACTCGAATAAGCCGTAGCGTATATAGAACGCTATCTTCTACTCGTTACCCTCCGAGATCTATACCTTATAGAACGCCTGTTTTATATCTAGCTTTATAAACTACTTTGCCTTCGAAAGGTTATAGAGCGTATCCGAGATTAGGGGCAAGGGGTAGCGGTCCGGCCTCGTAATTACGTTTTAGGCCCTATAGTCGCAATAGAACTATATCCCGCCCCTTAGTTTACGCACGAATAGGACCGGCGCTCTTACTTTAGAGCTACTTACTTAAATAAAACCCTTATCTAGGAGGTCCCTTAGCGTCTTCTTTAGCACTAGTAGCTCCGTATATAATATACTATATAGCGGTCTAAACGGTGCGGGTAGTTCCTGCCCCTTCTTATCGGTGCGGAGTACGATCCTATAGTCTACCCCTAGCTTATATAGGTTAAGCTTATCCGCTTCCTAGGACTTAAATAGCGGTAGGAGGTCGTAAAAGCGCTCTAGTATCTATTACTATAGCTTAGAGGGCGACTTCGGCTTCTTTATCTAAAGGGCCTTATCGATATCCGCTAGGCTAACTACGTAGACCGCTACGTTAGCCGCTGCCCGGCCTTGCCCCTACTCTACCCGTCGCACGGTTCCTACGAAGATAGAGGCAAGGACTTCTTATACCGAGTATAAAGCTCGCACGCCTAGTCCTACGCCTACGGAACCATCGTCGTAGCGGACCTACCGTTATATAGGCCTAAACTATAGCTTCCTCTAGTACGGAACCGAGTATAATTCTATATATAATAACTAGGGTTTCCTAAGGATTAGGAGAAACTTTAGTTAGGGGATTATATAGGCTACGATAAGCTTATAGTAACCGTTGACCTCTATAGCTAGCTATATAATGCCCCTAATTACCGTACCCTCTATCGCGCCTAAGGCGCCCTTTACTCGCCTTAGGGCGATCTTTTCTACTAGCACTTATATCTCTCGCGTAAGCGCCTCGTTAACTACGGCATAGCACTAGCAGCCCTCGTCTATAAGGGCGGCAACGGGTAAGGAGTTATTAATTATAACTTATATTAAAGTAGGCTCCTCTTTTATACGGGCGGATAATTCTTCCTTCTCCTTTACTAGTATTAGTAATTAGGGCTCTAGAGCCTATCTTTGCTCTAGAGCTACTCTTTTTCCTCTAGGCCTAGGGGGGCGGAGTCCTCCTTATCGTCTAAGGCGAGGAGCGGTTCTATCTTCGCTACTCGAACCGCTATAGGCCGCTTAGCTAAAAGGAAGGGGCATTTTAATATAAAGTACGTAGATACTCCGCAACGTAAGCAGCGGCCGTTAGCCTTCCTCTTCCCGATTTCCTCGCTCGTTACCTACTTCGCCCGCTACTTAGAGTACGGGGCGGTGTAAGGGGTAGTCGACGGCGTCTTCTTACCGCGTCTAGCCCGGTCCGTGCGGGTAGCCGATATTAGGGTGTCCCCGTCCGTATCGATAGCCGGTTATTTATCTTACGGAGGGGCGGTGATCCCGTCGCCGCTATACGGCGTGCGCTTACGGAGCTTTTAGAAACGCGGCGTCTACTCGTAGCCCTAAGCCACCTTTATTAACCGGCTTACGTACTCGCCGTAGTTAGTAGGTATAATTACGGGGATAAATAGCTCCCGTAGGGCCGGCGTAATCGAATTCCGTAGCTATATAAGCTTCGCGCTATCTACCTATACCGTAGTCCCTGCTGCCCGTGAGAGCGTCTCTTCGAAATCGGGAAGGAATTCGCTAAAGGTTTATCCGTCTCTCTACTTAAGGGTCCGTAGCCTATCTTACGCCTTCTCCCGCTCCTATACGTTGCCGAACGTATATATAAGGTATTAGAAGAAGTCTTATAGGTCGCGTCT